AAAAAAAAAAAAAATAAAAAAAAAAAAATAAATGTATACTGGAAAATAAAATGTAAATAAAACTATTATTTATTTAGTATGCTGTAATTTAAAACACTAGAAACATTGAGAATTAAAATGTTTTATTTCTTCGTAAAAACTTAACAAGTTAGTTTGAAGAGTACTTGTTTTTTGATGTATAACTTATGAGCAAGTATCTTTCCTATGCTTTGGTGAATTGAAGTGTTTCTACATTTTAATCAACTTCTAATACTTTATTATTTATATTTTTAATGTCATATAACATCTCTGAGAGTTCCTTTAATATGAAGTTTTTTCATAGCATCACTTCCTATGAGACATTTTCATCCTTTTTGTCACAACTACTTTCCTTATTTATGTAAATAAAATCAACCTCATTAACTTCCTCTGGCTGCATATCTAGTCTCTTAAAGGGTAACCACCATGTCAACATTCCCAAAGTCAGCTATTTCTTCTATAATTCCATTACCTTCTATTCAAATTTCACTTCCAACATTATCACTGTTTGTTTCTTTGTTGCATTTTCATCTTTCTTGGCTAATTCCCTTTTTTAATTATTCACTTTTATAAAATGTTACATGGGCTTATTGCTGGAGGACAACACAACTATAGGTTATGCTGTGTGGATAAAATGAATAACATGTAGAGAAACCAGTTACTGACACACACTGAAAAAAGTGACATAATATGTCACTGACCATGAGCACATATGTTATATAACGATTCCTAGACTAAAGTTTGCATTTCATGTAATTATTTTATTATTATTACTTTTTGAAGACAGGATCTCACTCTGTTGCCCGGGCTAATGGGCAGTGGCATCATCATAGCTCACTGCAACCTCAAACTCCTTGGCTCAAGTGATTCTCCCAACTCAGCTTCCTGAGTAGCTGGGACCACAGGTGCAAACCACCACACCCAGCTAATTTTTTTCTATTTTTTGTAGAGATGGAGGTCTCACTATGTTGCTCAAGCAATCCTCCCACCTCAGTCTCCCAAAGTACTAGAATCACAGGCATGAACCACTGCATCCAGGGAGGATTGCTTGAGGCCAGGCATCTGTCCAGCCTCATGAAATTATTTACGGTTAATATACCATGGTAATTGAAATTTGAACCATACAGTTGAAGAACTGGTGTTAACTAAACCATGGTAATTGAAATTCATGCATACTGGAACCATGTAAAGCAAGGACTGTAGGTATATAAAATAACTCTTTGAAGGTACTGCAAGGCATCAATGCAAGCAAGATTAAGGAGCTATGATCTCTAAAACATGGGGAATATAGAGATGAGCACCATGTTCCCCTCAGCTTTTTCCTGGGGGGAATTTTCTAAACGACAGCAAAGAGAGAGAACAGAAGCACAAAGCAAGTCTACTGTCTTAAGAAAGCAGAAGTTGGTGTTTAATCCCTGCCCAAGTGGAGGTACCTTGGTATATACCCATGGTTATCAGCTGTGATCCCAGACGGGTCATGGCTCAGGAATAAGGATCATACCCTAAAATTAATGGCACTTACTTCAGAGGCTAAACACAAAGTTTGCATGACATATGTTATATGTAGGGACTAAGTGATCAGTCTACTGCTAGAGAATCCATGAACAGAGGGACACTGGAAGGGTATAATGTAAAAGATGACTAAAAGTAGCTTCTGTGCAAATCTGGGCATGAAGACTAGAATTTAAACTTGTACCACTAATTCTAAAATGTATCAATGACTCAGAGTTATGGCTGTATATTTTACAAAGTGGTATTCTAAAATTAAACCCTACTATAATTACCATTTTGTAATCCCATCCAGAGCTGCTTGTGATCTTTCTTCTGCATTTCATTGATTACTTGACTTTTATGCTTTAAAGCATCAGCTTCTTTCATACAGGACATAAAATGAGCTTCAATTACATCCTTAGATGGACAGTGCAGAAGGTCCTTTTCAGGAAAACTCTATCAAAGGAAAAAAAATACACATATAAAAGGCACACACATTACAAAATTAGCTTCTTAAGAGAGAAATGTACTCCCTAGTTTTCCAATATTTTTAGCAAACCATCTTACTATTGCAATAACTCTAATTACTTTTTAAATTAACTTAAAAACAAAAAAGAAAAAAATTAACTTAAAAACAACACAAAAAAAGGCATTAAAGGGTAATAATTATAAAAATAGCTTTTCAACTGACTATATCAATTGTTGGCAAATAAGTGCAATGGAACTCACACTGCTGTTGGAAATGTAAAATAGCACAACCACTCTGGAAAACAGTTGGTAATTTCTGAAAAGGGTAAACACACACCTACCACCTAACCTAGTCATTCTACAACTAGGTATTTACCTAAGAGAAATGAAAGCATACGTCCATACAAAGACTGTACCCAAACTTTCACAACAGCTTTATTTGTAACAGCCCAAAACAGGAAACCACCTAAATATCACACAATAGGTAAATGAATATATAAATTGTAATAGAAACTTCTTAAAGTGTACACTTTGAAGACATAAAGCTTACTCTTAAGTCAATTAGACCTCAAAAGTGGCTTATAAAGTCAAATGGCTATATTTACATCCCATAACGTTACTAAATCTTTTTGGTAACTTAGGCAAAGATCACTTGGACAAATAAGCAGTTACATAAATGAAATGACTAATGTACTTTTCATTGAAAAAAGAAGATTAACAATAATGGCTAACACTTATTGAACACTTAGTATGTGGCAAACACTATACTAAAACTTTTTTATATGAATTACCTAATTTAATCCTCATACCTGAGGTAAACATTATTATTCCTATTTTACAGATAAAAAATATCAAAGCTTAGGGAGTGGTTAAAGCCCACTGCAGCACACAGATTGCAAGTGGGTAGGATTTAAGACTATCTGATTCAAGAGTTCTAGCTCTTAACCACTATACAATATCACTTTCCCCATAAGACCTAAATATTTAAGATAATTGTTACACTTGAACACCATTTTACAAAGTTATTATTCTATACATCCTTCAATAAAAACAGAGCTAAAAAATAATGACAAAAAACAGCATTTAGTTATAATTTACTGAGGTTGCTGTATTCATAAACATCATTCAGTCATCCATGTCCTGAAGCTTTGATAGAGAAAAGAAAAAGAAAAAAAGCCCTTCAATGACTACAGTAAGCAGGTATCCTCCTACTCAAAAAGAAGGCACCAGACAACCTATCGGTATTCCCTTAAGTAGATTTTTAAAATGCAAATAATCAAGATGCCAGATTTAATCTGCCTGCCCTGCTCATGTCCCCTCTATTCTCTTAGAATCTGATCCCACACTTTCTGCTGAGCAAATGCTGACTAGCTATACAACTAGCCACTGGCTACAGCAGCCAGGAGCAGAAGTGAACACCTAATCCAAGCTAAGCCAACCAAATTCTCTCCAGGTACAAAGGGATTCCAGATTTGTGGTGCTCTTGACCTAGTAGTCCATAAGAACTGAGGTATATGTTTTCAGATATAGGCACACAAGGCATAGAATATGAGAAAACATAACATTTCATAAAATATAAAAAGGCAAAGGGAAAATATAAGAGAAAGACAGAACTGAAAGATGAGGAAGGCAGGTATGGAGCTATAGACTGCAAAGAGAGGCAGGGTCACTGCCTTAATCAACTTTCCAATTGGCTATATTTGCTTTGCTTATAGTACATTGAGATTTATGTGTGCATACTGCATGTACATCAATTCTATTATATTCAATTGGATTACCATTATGATGGTTATTTCTATTTATGTTCAACTATTTTCCATTTCAGGTCTATAAACCTCTAAAATATAAAACTTCATTGAATTAAAAAAGAGAAGTTCTCAGCTGGGCATAGTGGCTCATGTCTATAATCTCAACACTTTGGGGGGCAGGAGGATCGCTTGAGATCAGGAGTTCAAAACCAGTCTGGGCAACATAGCAACACCCCATCTCTGTAAGAAAATTTAAAAAAAAAGAAAAAAAATCAAGGTGTGGTGGCACATGCCTCCAGTCCTAGCTACTAGGGAGGCTGAGGCAGGAGGATCACTCTCAAGTTGGAAGGCTGCATGAGCTATGATTGCACCATTGTACTCCAGCCTGGTGACAGAGAGACGCTATCTCAAAAGAAAAAAATCTAAAAAGAGATAGATAAATTCTAATGTTCTGTAAATATAGAGCATAACTTTATTAATTTCTAGAAAACTTTACCTTTGGTATAATTAATCTGCAAATCTTTAAAATGGCTTTCCAATTTCAAAATATGTTATATACAATAAATATACATTATTTTAATGTGTCAATTAAAAAATAAAGTTTAAGATGGATTTTCAGATATTGTACAATTCTTTACGCTACTGATTTATGCAGTTTGGTTATAAATGATTAGATGAAAATATGAGCATTCATATTTCAAAAAAATATTTTTTAAGTAGTTTGAATTTTTCACCTATTTAACTTAAGTACTATCTGAATTTCTAAAAACTGTATACAAGCTGTTTATGAAAAAAGGAGTTAAGATCCCTGAAAACAGTGGTTTGAGAAGTCTGAAGAAAAATACCATTTGGATGTGACTTTTGTTTCAGCCTAGGCTACTAATTTCAATGGTGCCTATAACTAGAAAGTGCTTAGATTTTACTTTTCCCCTATTTTCATTCCTTTGCAGGTTCCTAAGCTGAACAAATGCTTACACCTATAACTGACAGCTGACAATTACAAATAACTAGTCTCTAGAGCAAAAGAGGGGTAATATCAAGATAATGTAGACATTTGTATATACCACCCATCGGTCAACAGAGAATGCTCTACCTCTATCTAGGAAGAAGGTGAACTCCTTAATGATATGAACTCAGAGGAAACATGAGAGAGCAAGAACAGAAAAAGAAGAGATCTGCTTAGTCAGCTAAAGCAGTTGAAATAATTGTGCCATAAAGAAAATGACAGATGTGTTAGCCAAAGCCTCCTCAGCTCCTACTCACAAAATACTCGTCTTTCCACCATTAGCTTGAGGTGGCAGTGGGAAATATCTTTTCCAAAGCTTCACGATAAATGTATAACAGATCCTTGATTGATTACGTTTTTAATTCAGCATACATTAGCAGTTGTATATAAGTGCATATCTTTCAGTCAAAACAAATTCTTGCAAACAAAGATGATGATTTTTTTTTTTTTTGAGACAGAGTCTCACTCTGTTGCCCTGGCTAGAGTGCTGTGGCGTCAGCCTAGCTCACAGCAACCTCAAACTCCTGGGCTCAAGCAATCCTTCTGCCTCAGCCTCCCAACTAGCTGGGACTACAGGCATGAGCCACCATGCCTGGCTAATTTTTTATATATATATTTAGTTGGCCAATTAATTTCTATTTTTAGTAGAGATGAGGGTCTCGCTCTTGCTCAGGCTGGTTTCGAACTCCTGATCTTGGGTGATCCTCCCGCCTTGGCCTCCCATAATGCTAGGATTATAGGCGTAAGTCCTTGCACCGGGCCAAGATGATGATTTTGATACTATGTTTATCTGTTTTCATTCATCTTCTAAGTAAGATGTCTGATAACTAAATCTTATTTCACTTTTATAAAAGCAATTTCAAAGGTTCACTTAAATATTATTACCTGTGTCCTTTAATTAAAATATTAATCCAAACCATCTACAATGTGTCCAGACACATCAGAGATAAGTGAACAACACTAAACTAAAACTATTTACAAGCTAAGTAAAAAAAGGGAAAACCTCTTTCAATCTATTAGTAATACTGCAAGCTCAGAGTACTCTATTAAGACAGTAAAGCAAAGCAAAAAATGTATTTTCCAATATAATCAATAAAGAATCTAACATCTGATCAGATACACAGGAGTTGCGAATACATAGCAATGTTATTTTACTACTGAGTCACCTCTGATAACACACTCAGTAAAAAGCTTACCTCGATAAAATCTTAAAATATTCTTTCCAAGATTACTTTGGTGTGTGTGTACACATAGGGATGGGAAGGGAGTGGATTTTTCAAATATTTATTCCAAAGTATCATTTTCAAGATGAGAAAAGAGTACTATAAAAAAGAAGCTAACAGAAGGTAACTGAGTCAAGGCTAAAATTGATGCACCAAAATTTGTTAACCTTTCTTGGTTCTTTTAAATTTTCTAATTCTACCAAGATGCAATCTACAAACTTAATTGCAATGAATTATCTCTTTTCTTCCTGTTATAATCTAGGGATATCTATCTCCCATAGGAAGCATATCTCTGCTTCCTAGATCCCATTTACTGAGTCTATAGAACCCAGATCAATTAATTATTACTCTACCTTTCTATGAAATAACTTTAACCATTTTCTCTCTAATTCCTGTTTTCCATCACTGTTCTTCAATCTTAAAACAAAATAACTAGTCTCAACAAAAAAGAACCCCTTCCCTCAACCTCAACTTCTCTTTGGCTCTCTTCTGTCTGCTACCCTCACCACTCCACTGTGACTGGTCTCTTCAAGGTCAACAATGATACTTTTTAATCCTTACTGTTCAACCCTCACCAAACATCTAACACCTTTGTTCTCTGTGAAGTGGTCATCCACAAGTTTTTGTGTTATCACATCTCAGTCTCTTTTGCTTCTTCCTCTGCCACTCCTTAAATATTGGTATTTTTCAAGTTTCTAGCCTAGGACCTCTTTTCATTTTCATTCCATATATTCACCTTGAATAAAATTACCTATTTTCTGCATCAGTATTCATTTTAAAATAAGAAAAAAATTATCTACTTCCATACCACATATTGAGACTGAATCTCAATGTTTGTCTTCTGCCAAGATCCTTCTCTGAACTTCAGACCCATAATGATCTAGTAGAATTATCTCACAGAATGTCCCAAAAGCATGTGAAACTCAATAAATCCAAAAATAAATTAATAATATCCCTTCTTTACTCCTTCTCCTCCCCATTGCCCACATCTAAGCCAGGTCTGCTGAATCT